AACTATTCATTTTTCTCTAAAAAATTAGCCTTTCGCATGCTTAATTAATGCCTTTACCTAATTTGCATATTGCTGACATATGCAAATTAGGCAAAGGCATTGATTAGCATGCAAATGGCTAATTTTTTAAGAAAAAATGTAAGTTTGCGTGAATGGTTAAAGGGCGTAAACTGAAGCAAATTGTATGAAATTTTGTACAGTAATTAAACACCCAACAAACTTTCCATCTGTTAACTTAAAATATGATTATAGCTTTTAAATTTCGTGCGCAAGCCATTTTTATTTTGTTGGAAAAGACACACCCCGCTGGTTCACAAAATTTGAGTTCGAGAAATTTTTTCCATTTTTCTACATTATAAGTATACCCAAAGAAGCTAGCTATATATATATATAAAACTGGATACTAATAGCTGTTTTGCGAATTTAAGAGCAAATTTCCCATTTGGGACGGGTTTTTTTATACACCTTGTATATATATAACTATCAGCTTGAAATGTTCGGCGGTTTCATTAAACCTATAAACAACATATTTTTATTTATACAGTATGTACATGTGTGGAAACACAGTAAAGTACATGGTTCAGCATTATCATACACAATCATTCAAAATACATTGTACTATTTCTCTGTAGCTGGAAATCACTCCTCGAAGTTGTCTGGACTATCTTAAAAGAGGTTTCAAATCAGATGGTTATTATACCATTTATGACTTCAAGACCAACGACCGTATTACAGTTTACTGTGATATGACTTCAGAAGCTGGTTCAGCCTGGACTTTAGTGATGTCCTACGCCTTGGAGAACAGACGTATGGAACAGATCGCCAGTAAATCAATGCAACAAGACACTCCTGTGAACGAGCACTCACCTAACTGGAACCTCTACCGCACGAGTCTCTCTCAAATGACTCATCTCAAGTCTCAGTCAACCCACTGGAGAACAACCTGCAGCTTTCCAACTTACAAAGTTGACTACACTGATTACGTCAGAGCAAAGTTTACAGACTTTGACATTATGACATTTCTGGGTTCTGGTATTTGCAAGAAAGTTGAATATGTAAATATTCGTGGTCATCAATGTGCACAATGTACAACACAATGGTGGCACGAAAACAGTCAATACGCCCCCCACATTGATAGCAATTATTCCAATGGCTGTCAGTTTGTTCCCACTCAAGGTTCTGTTTCGAGCGAGGATAATTTTGGTTACTATGCCCCGGGATATGTCAACAAAAAGTTTCGCTGCACTGCTGGTCCCCTTTCTACAACCAACTGGTGGTTTGGTGGATACTTGTAATCATCTTGCTAGTTCAGATTTAAGTTGCATTGTTTGCTTTTCTAAGAAACGTTTGTAGAATGTAATTAGTTCGCTTAATATTACTTCAGTTTATATCATAATGTACAGCAAAATGTATCACCACAATAAAGTTTATTGCATATTCATAAGCTACATTGTTTGTGTGTTTCAAATTTTTTGCCAAATAAACATGAAAAGTCTTAGGTTGCTTAGCAATGCCTGTGATAGTTTTCGAAGTTGATGGTAACCTCGTACCCAGGGCTTCTGCGCTTATTGCTGTCACCCTCTCACAAGCGCAGAAGCCCTGGGTACGAGGTTGAGTTGATGGGGGCTGGGACCGAATGATAAAAAGTAGTAATGTATACAGTTCTGCCAATTGAAGTCGAGAGAATACATAAAAAATTAATAGGTGTATATATATATATAAACTTTGATAACATTTGGATGAATGCGGTATCTCAATTCATTCTGGGATCACAGTGCATTCTGGGATCGTTTGGAGGAACAAAATATATGGTGACAGGCGTCAAATATGTGAAAGAGTAGAAGTATCTACTATCAAATATCAACTTTTTAGACGACCAAAATTGAAATATCTTCTTTTTACATTAAACATTCATTTTAAATGTGTGCTGCCATATTTCTTGTTAACGGTAGTTTTATCCTTTTAAGAACGCTTTCCGAAAAGTATCTTGTCGGCTTGGCCATATAGGCACTGTTTAGGAATGCCAAAAAATCTGTGATTGCCACACAGTGTAAAAAACAAATTTACAGTATGTTCACATAATTGTTATAGTATACTGTAGTTATCAAATGGAGTGAACTACAATCAAACTCTTAAACTTTCGAGGCGTTTATTGATATAATTTATTAATATATAAACGCCTCATTAATTTAATGAACGCCCCGGTCAAACTTTGGCATTAGTGAGTTTGGCAAATGTTAGCACTGGTGAACTGGATGAAGAGAGTAGCCAGTTGTAACTTGGCGAAAACTTAATTATTAATATGGATGTTAATTTCAGATAACGAGGGCGATGGGCGTTTATTAAATACGGGTCGTTTAATAGAGAGGGGATTTTAACAAGAAACTAATTTGACTGGGGCGTCTATTAGAGGCGTTTGTTAATATAAAGTCACTCGGAGTTCCTCAGCGGACAAAACGGTCCTTAATTGGTTACTCCTAGTTATGATAAATGTCCCTCTCAGATAATTTACTACCTGGAAATACGTTGATGACTCAACATTATCAGAAACTGTTTTAAAGGTAATCAGAGCGAAATGTAATTAGCAATTGACCAAGTTTCGGATTGGTCAAAAGAGAACGTTTTCCAGCTTAAGTGTGACACAACTAAAGAACTCGTCATGAGCTTCAGCCACTCTAATCGACAAGATAACATTCTGATAATTAATATAGATGGAAACCATTGGCACAGCAACCAAAGCAAAATTACTGAGTGTAATGATATGCGTAGTGAAAAAGCTTCTGGAAAATTGTTTTTTCTGGTAGCGCTAACACTCTAAAGCATGTGTATTTTCCGGAAAAGGTGTGTATATTTGCAAGATAAAGATGTGTAAAAAAACACGCCTTAAGGTGTTTTTTTGTTTGTTTTTTGCTTGTCGCCAAATTCACACACCTTAAGGCGTGTTTTTCAAAAAGATGTATATTTTTTTACACACCTGAAGGTGTGTATTTTGCCCTGAATCTCTGGCGAACAAATTACACACTTTAAGGCGTGCATTTTCACACACATTACAAGGTGTGCAAAATAACACACCTTTTCGCTTGATACACAGCTTGCAAATACACACCTTGGAATGTGTGCAAAATTACACACCACAGTCGACCTTGTGATTCGACTTGAAGAAACAAAGAACTTTCACATTTTTAAGAATCTTGTATAATTTCAGGAATTTCTATATAATTGGAGCTAATGCTATAGTATAGTTAAATGCACAGCTACCTACTGTAAGATTATAGTTCTAATTATTTTAGTAGTAAAATCTATTATTACAGTATGTATATCATTACAGTATTTTGTATTGTTAAGTCACTCTCCGTAATTAAGTCTTTTCTGTAATATTAGAGAGTAAAGCATAATTTAAATAATTTATTTATATAAGGAGCGTTTGTATATACTTATCTGTAAACCAAGTGGCCTGATGTTGATCCTATATAATAGAATCGAAATATAACAATTTAAGATTTACATCTTGTTTTTAGTCCATATCTTCGGTTTTCAAGATGTCTTGATTTTTTGGATTTTGTTCTTGTTATTTAGACCAGCAAACCATCATCAATGGCTGGTGAACTCGATAAAATAACAAAAGAAATTGAAGAATTGGGAAAGTAAGTTTATAAAATATACATCTTGCAATACAGCTCTCGGTGTATAATATTCTTAACCTGACAATTGGGTTACATAACATTTCTCTCATAAACATACAAAATTTAGGAAATGCATGACCGACGCGTTATAATGTACTATTCTACTTCTTCTGTTCTTCTTTTTTCCGAGATTAAAATAATTTCAATCTCTGTTCTAGTCACATTTTGGGAGCTTCTGTTACTAATTGTAGTAACATACTTATGAATCCCAATTCTCCATCGTCGTTTAAACAAATGTTTAAATTCTTATCTTCCATTCGACAACGGGCTCTTACTAGAGCATGCGCATACATGTATTCTGTATGAATGCAAACAAACCTGCCGTGCAAAATAACTCGTGCCAAACGCACACTTCGTAAAATCGTTCTTAATAAGCTTAAATTAACCGTACTGACCATCGTGAAGACCTGTTTTGTAACAATTGTAAATGTTGTAATTGTTAGTTAACTTTATTCTCGTATGTAAATTATAGTGGTCTCACTTTTTTATAAAATAAAAAAATAAAGGGCCGTGTATATTATTAGATAACTATTATGGTTAATTAATTTCCCTCGTGAAATAGGGTTTTTAATTTCTTACTCATGCATAACATACTGTATCTCCATGACGAAACAAAGTTATACCAAGTTTTTTGTGATTCAGAACAAAGTCCACGCTACAGAAGGACATTGAGGAAAATGAAGACTTAGTTCGACGCAGACATAGTGAAGTGCAAGTAAGTAGAAAAGTACTTTAAATCGTGCGCTCATGTTGCTATGAGTGCAAGTGTTTTTAATGGCTTTTTGCAGTGATGACTTGTCTGTCTTTCAACCTAGGATTTAGAAAGTGAACTTGAAAAAGCAAAAGAAGAAATAAAGAAATTAGAGAAAAGAAAAGAAGAAACTAAAAGTCAATTGGATCAGTTAGACGAAGAAGTAAGTTGATTTTGATTAAATTCAGGTTACCTGAGGTTCCCACCAATCTCATGAACCATCTGTTCGCTTGAAATACCACATCATTCACTAAGAGAAGGAAAATGCTGCCTCGGGAAAAAGACTGGGTACACATTGGGCAGTGTCGTTTTAAGCGCTCATAACGCCATGATGGAGCACTGATTTCCTCTGGAATGAGCGACCTTGATGAAACTTGGACGAAAAAATAAATACTTTTTTAATTTAATGCGCTAACGTTTGAAATAGATAAATTTAGTCCAGAGAAATCATATAGTCGGATGACGCGAGCGAATGGAAACATAATACGTGCCATCTATTTTTCCGTCGTTACTCGTTTTCTCATTGGAATTTATAAATTGGAGAAGACATCCGTTTATTGCTTTTGGTAATTGGAATTAGCGCATAAACATCCAGACAAATCGACGCAAGCCGAGATTTACAAGAATGTATAGATCGCGGAAAAACTGGGTGCGAGTAAACTTTGGACTTTGGGAAAACGCAAACAGTTTCAAGAATAGTGTGCTGCTGCGCTCAACAGCAATTACATGTTATATGCGGAAAATTATTAAAATGGGGAATAAATACCGGCCCATGACTGCAGTATTTCGTTTATTGAAATGTTAAACTGTGATAAACACTATACTGCACGTCTAGAATGACTTTATTATTCAATGTTTAGAAAGCAAAATACGAAGGACTTTTAAAAGAAGTACAAACAAAATGTCAAGAAGAAACACAAAAGGTTGGAATAATTTTCTGTCACTTTAGCATTTCTATTATTACATCCACAGTTACTTGTAACCAAATTTTTATTTTAGATAAATAATTTAAAATCTCAAAAAGCAGAAGAAGATATGTCTATTCAGGTATTTGTGCATGAATTATACTTCTATACGTACGTATATATATGCAGTACATTTAGCGAAGCTCTTAGTGTAGAAAAATATAAAATGCGCAACAGCTGGCCATAAAAATGAAATGCGTCGACTCGTGTCTTTAGAGGTATATATGAAAGATAATTTCGTATAAATTGTGATACTGCAGAGAAGAACTATTCGTTTTCTTTGGGGTGTCTAGATAGTTAGATATCTCTGGTAATAGAGCGGCGGTCTGCGGTACAATATGCGAGTTAGAATCAGTACAATCCGCCGTATCAGAATTGATATGACATTACTTTCATGTTTTTAGCAGCGCCACGATAATACACTCTTTTGGAAAGTACGGTATATTGACCGATTCGAAAACTAGCTATCACAATTTTCAATCATTAACAGGCTATTAAGCAATTATTAGTGAAAGCAAAGTGTAAGAGTTTAAGATTGAAAACAATCTATGCCAGAGAAATTATACTATTTGAAATGCGAAAAAGCACCAAAACGAGGCTGGTCAGGCTTGTTTACTAAATCTAGCTAAAACGTTGGTGTTTTTAACATTTACTGTCGATGCAATGGAAGTGTTGATAAAATATTGCACCAATTCCTTTCCTCAAGTTGATCAATTCATTTGATAGAAAATTGATCAACTTCCTGTTACTTTTAGATGAGCCAATTAGATTTCGTTTCAGAACCGATTGACCAATAGGAAACGCACAGGATGTAAAAAGAAATTTGAATTCGTATGAATTGATCAACTTGAGGAAATGAATTCATGCAATATTTTATCAACACTTCCATTGCATCGACAGTAATTCTCAAAGAGAATACATGGTATTATATTTAAACTTTGTAAAACTGTTGGTGTGGAAGTATTCTATAAGGCGGCAGTGATCATCTTGGTTGAAATGAATTTTAGGAAGGAAAAAAAATGACAACCATTTTTCGAATCGATCTATATACCGTAAATCTTCTATTAAACCGCAGGGGAGGTGTTATTTATTTCTGCCATGTTTGAGGCGGACGTTTTGAATCAGTAGCGTGCTGGGTACTATTTTTCTGGGGAGGCCAGTCGGCTGGCAACTAATATGCGCCCCTATAATATTACCCTTGATAAACGAGGGCCGAAGGCACGAGCCGAGCACCGCAGGTGCGAGGTTTGTCCAGGGGGGTCCGGGGGCATGTCCCCCAGGACAATTTTTGAATTTAGAGTCTCTGAAATGCCATTTCCTGGACTTTGGGGGAAGATTTGACAGAAATCTGATGGTCAGGAAACGGCATTACAACGTGTCGAAATTTGAAAATTGGTTAGAATTTAGTAGTAGCACTTAAATTGGGCAATGCTAACTACTTCCAGCAATTAATCTAATCCCAATTCTATTCTCTACTGATCTGAATACATTTACAATTTACAGCTCTTTTATACAATAACACACGAACCCCACGCATATGCGTTTTAAGGTTTCCTTGCCTAGCTGCCAAAAGGGCGTGTTTCATCATTATCTCATTACTTACATTACTCATACTGTTTCTTGCGCAAACAACTAAATTGCGTACACAACTTTACATTATCATAACTTCAACTATCTAATTTGCGCCGCTCTCGTGATTCGTGAAGCATAATAAAGGGAATAATATAAGGGTATAATACCAGCAAAAAAGGACATAATTCCCGTGATCGCTTCGAAGCCTGGTCAATATTCCGGTAATGAGACATTGCGTGTGATCACTGATCATGTTTCTATATGAAGGAGTGATTTCGTGTGAGTCGTGAGGTAGCAAATACGGTTAGACAAAATAGTCTGCAATTTAATATACTCACTTTGTCGCCTATGCGCTTAGTCTGTTTATAAGTCTATAAACAGATCTTTCCTTGGCGGAATTAGTAACTATATTTTTTCGAATGCGTTTCTTCCCACCTACTTTCAAAATTCGGCGCGGGATCGGCGCCCCCTTTTCATTTTTGCGCCCCCCAAAAATTGCCAGCTGGGGGGGCCGTGGCCCCCCGGGCCCCCCTGCCAGCACGCCACTGTTTTGAATGGCTTTTGCATGAGTTTTTGTTCGGGTATAAAGTCTGGTTCAATTGATGCTTGGCAAAGTTTATTTTATTTGTTGAAATCATGTCCAAAAAATACACAAATGTATGCTTCAATTAATCAATTATACGCCCGTCCCCGATGTTTATGTACTACATGTAGATGGGTGCCCCCTTCGGTGACCGTTGACTTGTTGACGGCAGCTGCGATCAGATGGAAACTAGGCTTAGGGTATAGCGCAACATAGCTAGTGCAATTTATAGCATTACCGTACGTTTTACTCAATCCGTTTAATCGAACGGGCGCCTTGTCTGACTGAAATGTCGAAGAAGCTAAACATGGGGTACCTATAACTTTCTCGCTTTAAAACCGGTTAATTAATTCAACTATATCGTTCATTAATTTTGTCTTGTGTTTAATTGTTTATTTTGTTGTTGGTCTAGACTAATTTTCTTGACGTACATGCATGTAAATTCATTATATAGACGCAAGAAGATAAATTAAGTGCAGCAAGAAATGAATTGAATAAATTAAGAGAAGAAGAGACGAAATTAGAGAAAGAGGTTAGTGTTACATATGTTCACTGCGCTGTTAATTTTATGAAAATCATGATTTTCAATTAAAAAATTCTATACTGTCGCAATTTAGAGGTCGTGCGCGCGAATCCTGATTTTTCAAGTCACACACCCAATACTGCTATAAACGGTTCCCCTATAACATTCAAATAAA